TTGCCTTCTGCGTGTGGAGGGAAAAGCCTGGCTCGGAGATTCTTGGGCAAATATATATATATTGTATATAGTTATGATTGTGTTTAGAAGTTTTTATTTTATTTTATTTGTTTATTTTTTATTTTTATTTACCTTCTTCATCAGTATTATTTATTTACTTCTTATATTTATATTTATTTCTTTATTATTTGTATATATTGTATGAATGAGAACTTTTAGCCCTAATGCTTATAGCCCTCCAGCAGTGGCTGATTGTATTATTATTCAATAAATAGATTTAAAAAAAAAAAAAAAAGTTATCTAAATGCAACTCTATTGCATCTTTGTTGGTTCTATCTACCCATCTGCTTTTTGACCTTCCACGTAGTATTTTGCCTTCTATCCAGGAATAAATTGTTACATAGAGGCTTCCAGATGGATTGCTATGAGCTATATGCCACTCCCATCTTAACCTCCATGCCTTCATATCATGGGATATTGATTGACCAGTTTCTGTAAGCAGTTCTTTATTAGCCTTTCTTCTCCATGTGTTAGTACTTTGATCCTAAATCGCTCTGGTTATTGGGCGGAGGATTTTTCTCTCAAATCTTTCAATACTTTTTCTAGGGTTCTGGTTAGTGTCCAGGTCTCTCAGCCATATATTAGAACTGGTTCTATCATAACATTGTACACCCTTAAGTTGAGATTTTTCGGTATTGCAATACCTTTAAGGGAGAGGAAAGCTCTGTTTGCAGTATTTATACACTGGTCTATTTCTGAACATTGGTCATTCGTTGAGGTTATTGTGGGGACAAGGTATTTGAAGTTTTCTGCACTTGGGAATGATTTTCCTTCTAAGCAGAACCTCTTATTGGGGTGGAATTATCATAAATTTTGTTTTGTCATCATTTATTGTAGGCCCATCTGCTCTGCCTCTCCTATCAGTGTCTTAGTTCTTAGTCCTAACGAGTTTCTCAATGTTCTATTGATTACTTTCTAGGATAGCTATATCATCTGTGTATCTAAGGATTTTATGAATTTATATATGTATTGTCTTGAATAAAGTTACTGCACAACACTTTTATTATTATTATCTTTTTTAAAAAATGATTTGTATTGAATAGTTAGTTTTGATTTATTCTTTTTATTAGGTTATTCATATTATAATTGGGATATTAAAATGTTTTAATATTTAACTTTAACTTCTAGGTTCCACCATTTAGAGTGCTTTCCTTTATAACCTAGTTTCAAACTGCTTACAATAATAGCAGTGGTTAAAAATATTTCCTTCAACTTATTCGAGTATTCATCGAGTCCCTTTTCCAAGTCCATGTCTCTGCATATTTCTTCCACGAGATTGGTGTATTCTTTACGCTTCTCGCCTGTTTATAGAGTTTCCATATTAACTTTGTCATAAGATTTGGCATATTGCTTGTACTGTCAAAATACATGTGTAGGCTACAGACAGATGATCTGTGCTGATTTGGGTGCCACTGATTACTTTTATATCTGTAAAATATCGCTTTAAGTCCCTATCATACATGTAGTTAATAATACTAATTTATATAATATTCATTTATATTTTTCTCCCCTTGTGATTATCTTTCAGAACCTTTAGTTTTTTCATTCTATTCCTCACCTTTTAGGCTAAATGGGGTTTTCCCTGGCCAGGGAGTCAGAAAAGGGGAATTAATGCCAGAGTTAGAACCCCCTCAGTATCGGAACGTGAACTCGTAATTATTTTATCGTAAACAACTTTGGTTTATCGGGGTGGTTGCCAGGTAAAAGAGGTCATGGTGGCCGAGTGTGTTGGAGCATTGCCCATTCTAGCATCCTGGGAGGGTTTGACTTTTATTTGGTGACGGACACACGGAATGAAACTCGACCCTCCCACTCTGGTTAGAATAGATTTGGTTATACCACTAGAAAAATCCCCGTATGCCAGAAATGGTGGGTAGGGGTATTAAACAAAAAAAAAAAAAGGTTGCTGAGCTACTGTGCTCATGCATCTACCCGATCGGCCACCCTGCCCCCCAAAATCTTAACCTAAAGGTTTTCAATATTTTATATTCTTCAGAAGTGTAACTAGCTTAGAAGCACCCTTGAGGAGTCATCTTAGCATATGCTATATAGAATAGAATAGAATAGAATAGGATAATCCACTTTATTCTGGGACAAAGTACCTTAAGAATAACAATATTGTACATAAAAATTAACATAACATCTGGCCAAAATGCATATTACAATAAAAAAATAAGTAATAACAGAAGTATTTACATAACTATACAGATATATTAAAGAAATAATATGAGAAATATGGTCACAATACTGCAAAATAGTTCCTACAAACAATAAACTATGGAATACTAAATGAAATTTGAAATGAACGATAAATTACTTTTGTTGTCATACCATTGAATTAATGAAAAAAATAATAATAAAAGAGCAGATAAGTATTTACTGTATATGATTTACATCTGTACCTCAATGTGTTCAAATGAACACAATAATAGTATTGTAAACATTATACAAGTATTATTTAATCTATATCTTAAGATGTAGATTGATCAGAGAAAATAAAAGATGATATACATATAGTGGAGTGCATTCAATATTAGTAATCAATTAAATACTGCTCAAAGAGTTAAAATCTTATACATTGAAAACTTACAAAAGACAATTTTCAGTGACTGGACATCTTTTCCATACTCAAAAAAGAATATATATATATATATTATCTTTTCCATCTTGAATGGAAGGAAATTGAATGCGTAGGAAGGACGATGATTACAGATTATTTGGTAAAGGAATGTACCTAGGAAATATTGTCTTCTGAAGGAGGTAAAGAGCCACCATCCTGAGGGAGACACGAGAACATCTCGGGGTTCCATTGACAGATCTTACTAAGCTATTAATGATTCTTTTCAGTCTGTCTCCAAGTTCCGGTGAGAGGCCACCGTACATTACGCAGCCGTAGTCAAGGTGGGGGAAGATGAGGGCGGATACTAGGAGTCTACGTGTGGACATGGGTAGGAGATGGCGGAAGCGATGGAAGAGTTTCAGGATGGAAATTGAACGTCGGGATATGTGGGAAATATGGTGATTCCAGGAGAGGGTTTGATCTATGAAAATACTTAAGTTTTTAACTGAAGAGTTGAAGGTGGTGGTTTGGTCATTTAGGTACAGGTGAGGAATATTGGTATTGGATCTGAGAAGGGGTTTGGAACAAATGACAATGGCTTGGGTTTTAGCAGCGTTTAACCTTAATCCATTTTCATTTGCCCAGGCACAGATTCAATTTAGGTCTTCTTGTATTTTGGAAAACGCATCATGCCACTCAGAGGGAGCAAAGGAGAGGTAAATTTGGGAATCATTGGCATAAAGGTGATGGGAACAGTGAAGGATTGATTTATGAAGATCATTAATATATGAACTAAAAAGGAGAGGAGATATGCTAGAGCCCTGTGCCACTCCTGAGGACAGAGTTAGATAGGAAAACAAAGGTTAGTTAGGAATAGAGACTGCTTGGGTACGTTGAGAGAGGAAAGATTGGAGCCAAAGGATAGTGCTGTTGGAAAAGGATAACGATTTTAATTTGGAGAAAAGGATGGAATGGTTAATGGTATCAAAGGCTTCGGAAAAGTCAAGGAGTACAAGGACAGTTAGTTTTTTGTCATCTATGGTGGACTGAACATCACTAATGATTTTGATGAGGGCGGATTGTGTGGAGTAACCTTTTCGAAAACCAGACTGGTAAGGGTCAAGTTGGTTGGACTGTTCGAGGAAGTTGGAAACTTTGGATTGGTCTATTCGTTCCAGAGGTTTTGCAAGGTTAGAAAGGATTGAGATTGGACGGTAATCTTCAGGGGAAGAAGGTTTAGGAATTTTAAGTAAAGGACGGACAATAGCTTTTTTCCATGAAATACTGAGTTCTGAAGGGAGAAATTATGGATGAAAAGGAACACGGGAAGGATTTCAGGTAGGCAAAATTTGATTAATTTGACAGGAATACCATCTGGACCAATAGAATTGGAATGTATTTCATCACGGCGGATATGAGGTCTGTGGAAGAAATATCTGAAAAATAAAAGTTGTCGTTGTTAAATGATATTCCAGGAGTAAAGAAGGAAGAGGTTGATAGAGGAATGGAAGAGGAAGCTGATATAAAATATGAATTTAAATTATCAAGTGATACTGGAAAGACTGCTGAGGAAGGTGATCTGGAAGATTCACAGAGGGAGAGTTAAGAAGGAGTAGCCATTTGGTTTTGGAATCAGGAGTTGATGAAAGGGCTTCGTGGAAATAGATGGGTTTGGCTCATCGGATTTTAATTTGTGTCAGGTTACCGAGCACCTTAAACGCTTGGTAGTCGTCAGCGAGTCTAGTACCTCTAAAGCGTCTGCGGGCAGCATCACATCTCTTCTGAAGATTGATAATTTGCTGACACATCCATGGAGCCGGGGGGAGGGGAGGGGGTGACAAAAGGTAGAGGTTTTGATGGGAGCATGGGCATCAAGGATATTAAGGAGGCTGAAAATGAAAATATCAACCATAGAGTCAATACAGAAACAAGGATATATTCCATTCCAATCAAGGGTTTCCAGGTAGGGTAAGATTTTTTCCTGATATTCGTACTATTAAAACATTTGAGAGTAAAATAAGTCAATGTAAAGTGAAATTAGGTTTATATTATTACATTGATCATTTGTTTATTACTGATGACTCTTTTTACATTTAATATTATGATCATGATATACTTTACTATCTGGAAGGAAAAGCTTCAAAACCTTTAATGAAATATATTTTCTGTTTATTCTTCTTAAATAACACTGTTTCATTAAAAATTAAATAATCAATGAGTAAGAAATATCAGTTGTCTATACACATAAATTTATTAAGAAATTTACATCCAGTCACGTACATTAACTTAGCACTCATATGTATATACTTATGTGTTAATGTAATAGAACAAATTATTGTTATTTTATTACATTAAAATTTTGTATATTTTATGATTTCAGAATCAGATTGTCACGACCACTCAAAATATTGTCAGAATATAAGGGCGATGAACATGTGTAGAATGTATAGGTATCAAACTCAATGTTGCCAATCCTGTAGCATTAACAAGCATTAATAATAGATTATTTATGCTTAGTTAACCAATGATTGTTATGTAAATTAGACTGTTTAATGTAATGAATTTTCAGATATTGAAAAGTATAATGTAAATAAGAAGGATCTTTATTTATTAATTATTACTCTTTATTTTATTTTTTTTTACTTTTCTATGTTTGTAACTATGTTATGTAAGTATAAAACGCTTCTATATTCTTAAAAGAAACTTACTTTTGTATATATGTGGAATTTGAAATTAACTACCTAATTTTAATTATAATATTTCAAGATTTAATAGATATAATCTTTTAATTTTAACCTATAAATATTTTAACTGTCATAGATATAATTATTTTCATAGAAATAATTATTATTTCTTACATAGGAAATATTCTTTATATGATGTTTAAAATGTGTTCTAACACACACATATGTATATATATATATACTGGATGTCCCGTAAATAGAGTGAAATTTTTATAGGAGTGATAACAGACCTCAAGAGCTACAAAAACTACATATAAACAATATATGTATATAAGAAATTCAATGTTTGTGTTGTTGTTTTTTTTAGTAAGTCTTGTTTTTTGTTGAATAGGAAGCGATTACTAAAGAAATATTTAATTTAAATAATTAATAATTGTTTCATTGATAATAGACAAAATTTACTTCAAACAAAAGTAGATTTTGTCAATGTTGAAACCATTTAAAGTGGACCTTTGAGCGGTTAAACTGAGCTATTTTCTGTTTAAAAAAAAACATAAATTATTTACAATTTTTTTTTATCATCATTCAAGCATACTACAGACATCTCACTTTTGGAAAAATGTCCTCCTATGATAAGTTTTAAGTCCATATTAATTAAGTGAAGGTTTATAGGGGAAAAACTTGAGATTTACTTCAAATTGTCTAAAAAAATGATGTGATTTTGTATCCAGTTAACTTAAAGTACCCATGTTTTTAGCAAAAATTACTACAATTAATTGTTGCAAAATATTTATTTTTATATCACCTGGGATATATTGTAATAAACTTAATTGCCTAAATACCCCTTTTATTTATAGACACAATTTTTTTTTTAAATAATGATTTTTCAAATATTTTCCGTGTAAAGTAATTAAGAAATTATGTTTTACACCTAGATCTTTATTGCAGGAATTTATCCATATTTATAAGTGACAAAATAACTGTTTCTAGTCCAAAACTTCACTTTTAAAATAAAGCAAGATGCTATACTTATTTTTTTTTTTTTGAAAACGTAAATATTAGGAACAGGAACATTAAGTTTGTCGATTATAAGTACGGATCGATTTCTAAAATAGCAGTATGGGTGAAAAACAAAATTTCATAACCATTTTATCTGGAAAATAATTTTTTTTTTAGTTTTTATAAATAAACAGAATATTTAGGCAGTTATGTTTGTTAAAATACATCCAAAATTTTGGAAAAAATAGAAATAAAGACTTTGTAGCAATTAATCGTAGTGATTTTTGCTGAAAACACTTACTTTTCGTAGGTAACAAGATACAAAATCACATATTATTTTTTACACAATTTGAAGTAAATCTCAAATTTTTCTATAATAAACCTCAAGTTAATTAATATGGACTTCAAACCTATTAAATTAAACAAGGATTTTCTACTTTCCTGCTAAAAATTGGCCCATTGTTTATATGAACTGTTTTGTAGCTCTTGAGATCTCCTATCACTCCTATAAAAATTTCCCTCTACTTACGGGACACCCTGTATATTTATAAATATAAATCTGTATATATAAAACTTATAATTTAACAATTCAGTATATATTTTATTAAGAGAAAGTTATTTTTTTTTTTGTTATGTTAGTTAAAATTTATAAAGAAATATATAAATAACTATTGAAAAAAATTGTTTCTGTTATAATAATTAGTGAATTATTTATGCTACAGTCAGCTCATATATATTTAAAATAAATATTATAAAATATTTGGAAAATATAATAAGTGATGAATGTTTATATTTAAAAAAATGGATACAAAGATAATTATATGATAACTAATATAGAAATATCACATATCCAATTCAAAGAAAAATTGTTTATTTTAGAACTTAATGATAATGACTTAAAAAAAAAAATAAAAAAAAAAATTGATTTACAATTTGGTATATTTGATAAAACATGTCACTGAAAATAAACACAACTGTATATAGGATTTTGCAGGAGTTTTATGATATTCAAAAATATTTAGCTGCATACAATTTAGTATTTTCCTGAGTGATGAAATTAATCTCAGATACATTATAATTATTGTAAATTGAATAGACTTGCAAATTTTTATTTTTGTATTATAATGATAATCTTACATAGTTCATGCATGTCCATGTAGAAAAGGCTTAAGATTCACTGGAAGTCTTGGATATTGTTATATGTTTTAATAGGGCTTTATCTGTCTATGGAATAGTAAGCCACTATGAAATCAACTAGGCACCGTATTCCAATATAAAGTAGACAGATTATTCATTTTTTTTTAAACATTTGCCATTCTAGTTCCGAGTAAAGAATTTATTTAACAATTTGGCTGAATGATTGATTTAATGGTATTTAAAGTGAATACACATAAATATATAAATTAAAGTTTATGTATATAATTATTTATAAATATAGCTATGTATCTAACTGTATACATACATTAATTCAAACAAATCCAATTAATTTAATGCAGTATTATTAATATCAACATTATTCATTATTTTTTTATGGAATAGGAAAACTTTCTCATTGATTTTTAATAACTTGAGTAATTTCTGCTATTTTGTTTTTTAATTTTAATAATTATTCATTTTTTTAAATATATTTTTTTAAAAGGAAAATAATCTTTATTATTACTATCCATTGATAATTTAATAATATTCACCAAGTGATAACTTTTATTAGTTGTGATTGACTATGATAATACTAACAAGCATTCTGTTTTGTATTTAATTGAAATATATCAAAAAAGAATTTTGAAATTTTTCTTAGATGGGTAATAGACTTTTTGCTAACAACATGAATACAAGAGAAAATAACTTCCTTTTCTTAATCTTAAGCTTTAAATGTTTTATTTATTTATTTCTATTTCTTAGACTTCATGCTATGAAAATCTCTGGCCAAGTGATATATTATAACAGATATTTGTAACTTATCAGAGCATAAGAGGCCATGGTAATCAAGTATGTTGGGGGGAGAGGAGGGGAGAATCTGAGAATGCCAAGTTTAGACCCATCTGGGTTCAATTACCACCTGTGCCAGTATTTATTTTATGGCCATTCTGAGAAATGAACCTTGGCATTCCCATTCTGGTTAATACTTAGCGGCTAGGTAGCTATTCGAGATTGGTTAAATACTCAGGTCCACTTGCTGGAGTAATTATCCTCACCAACATACTGTTAAAGAGTATAGACAACTAAGAAGAGTATTTCCATTTTCACATTGCTGCAAATGAATATTTATATCTACTAATAAATCCAGGTTCAGAGATAATATTTGATCAGTATTAGCTAGCTATGATCTATTTATAAGATTTATGTTTTCTCCACATAGGTATAACCAAACCTCTTCCAACTGGTGGACCAGCTTAATATAGTTTATAGTTTTGTTTAAATTTTAAACAATTTTTCATTTAATTTTGTTTAGGTTGATGAAAAAAAAAAAGGAAATGAAATGAAGCCAGGTGACTGTTATCATCTAAACTCTTCTCCCATATGATTACATAACCTATAACAGCTGTATGCCAACAGCTGCACTGTTTCAGGAGTGGTCAAAAACTAGCATTATAGACATGAGATCATACCTAGATTGCCAAGCAGTGCCAATGAAATATGCTCTTTTTTATTCCAATAAAGCAGTGCTCAACTTCCAGAAGTAGGGACAGTAATAGATTATGATGATGGCAATTAAATATTAAAAAACAGTATTATTTTTTTCTCTCTTGTTAATATTAACTTTTTATGAATGAATTATAATTGTATCCCTGTAAAATATTATATTTCATAGTAAAATCTCAAACAATGTTCTATTCACTATTTCAATGTTTGTTGAAATTACATTATAAATGTTATTCGAATAAGTTTTCACCAAAGATCTTAATTGTATTTGAGCACCAGTTCATTTTAAATGAAAAATATTGTATCTAAAGAATATACAAAAGTAATATAGAAGTGAATCCAATCTAAAAATTAAGTCTAAAGTAAACATCACAATTAAAAACATAAAAAAAAAATTAAAAATCAGGAACCTCAATATTTTTTACAAGTGCTAAAATAGTCTAAAAGATAGACATAAAAATATAAGAGATATATTGAAGAGAGAATAGTTGGGATGGTCAGTCAAAAAGGAAGGCAAAAATAAATGATAATATTTATTTTTTACATAATAGAAAAATAATCTTTATTCTGGGACTAGGTCCCTTTAGAATAACAGTATTGTTCATATAAATTAACCATAAATCTGGCCAAAAGACCAATTACAATGAATAATAACAAAATACTAGTAATAAATTAAGTATAATAGCTCTTAGGATAAATTAACAAGAACAGTTGGGTAATAGGGGTTCAATACTACAATATTGGAGCTACAATGATAGTATAATAATCACTTGAATATTTAATAATGAAGAGAAGAAAAGATGGGGTGGCCAGTCAAAAAGGAAGGCAAAAATAAATGATAATATTTATTTTTACATATGCCGACGTTTCGACCTGAAGTTCAGGCCTTCATCAGAGCTAAGAAAATAACCAGATAACAAGGTATGAGAAATATAAGTAGTGATGGTAAAAAAAATAATAATAATAAAAAATAAATAAAATAATAAAAAATAAATAAAATAATAAAAAATAAATAAAATAATAAAAAATAAATAAAATAATAAAAAATAAATAAAATAATAAAAAATAAAATAAATAAATATAAAGTAAAATGAAATTGTTAGAATAATGACTAAGAACTAAGAGATAAATAGTAATAACCGTTACAAAGTGTGGAATGATGAAGTAGGCATA